TGAGAAACTCCAATTATTGGGAAATTAAGGAGTAGGAGACTCTCCTCAGTTCACTATCTTCTGCCTCTTTAAATGGGAGTAATGACCAACTTGTCTAGAGCCTCCACAAAGGGAGACGTTATGAGGTCCAAATTTAAGCTTAATTGGCTATTTACTATGTAGTTTGTAGGTCTGTGTCTGAGGAATTAAAAGACTCAAGAGGGCATCCACCAAGGATAAAGATAAAAAGAAGCTTCTTTCTCTCATCACCTTTGCAATCTTCTGGGCTATATGGAGAAAGAGGAAGAGTTTTTTTGGGGCACTTATTCTAAATTTGATAGAGTTAGAGATTTATGGCTCCAGATGACAAGTATCTTTCAAAAGTCATCCTCTCTAAAATAAAGAAAATTAAGACCTGATCAACCTGTCTATCTGATTATCTTGTATAGATTAATATCAATTTTTTTCTTCTAAAAGAGAAAAGAACTGAAATTTGTTTTAGTACAAAAAGGAATAACCTAAAGAGGGAATTAAGAGCCTATGGGAAATATCTCTAAAGGAAAACTAACAGTAAGAACACTCTAAAACAAATCTGTATGAAAAAATATAATATAGGAAATTACTATACCAATATTCTAAAAACTACATAAGACAAAAACTTAAAACTTGTACAATAACCTTTCTTGCTTCTGTATCCTTCCAGACATTCCCAGCTATGCCAAGAACCACAACAACCACTATTTGGAAAACAAAGATGGCCCCTGTCAACTTGTCAATCATCGCATCCATGGCCGTGAGCTTTGGTTCGGGTATACCCCTACTCATACCTAGCTTAGTTTCATTGCCTGAAAAAATAAGTTGCAGTTACAATTGATCCAACTGATATCAAATGAGGAAAAGTAACAGATTTGATATAAAAATATTCAGCTTAAATGCTAGTTGAATAGTTCGTAATATTACCATGCCACTTAAAAATGAGTATGGGAGGAAGAACTTCTAAAAAATTCCAAATGATAAAGAATACTTCAAAGATAACACTCGGCATTGACAAGAAACATATGTTCCTTTGGTAGTTGCTGTGCCAAAAAGCTTCTTTAAAAAAAGTTTGCTTTTGATATGCTTGATTAAAAGCTTGCTGTCATATAAAATAGCTATACGGTTTGATAATCTTGTCTACAAAAGATTTTCGGAATGCTACAAAAAATGTGTTTGGTAATGATATACAGTTTGTATCTAAGGAAAAATTTTACACTTTTTTAGATGATTAAATATATAAATATATATTCCGTATTAATAATTTTGGAAAGATTATGCATATACTTAGTAATTAGAACTGATTGATGATGTTTATTTGCCCAATTAAGAAGCAAATTTTGTTACTTTAAGAAGACAACCATGTGATTGCTTTTCAAAAGCAACTAAATTTGCTTTTTCCAATTGAAATTTTTTAGGAAAACAACTAAAAAATACATCACCAAACATAAATTTTCTATAAGCAAGATGGTGCTCTGGAAAAAGAAAAGAAAAGTAATTCAGAAAGCTTTTACCAAACTGAGCATAAAAACTTGAGTAGGAAAAAAAAAAACTTGTACAGTATAAAAAAACAAGAAGGTGGTTTGATCCATGTATAAATAATGGGATTTTTTAGGCAACTAAAATATCAACAAGGTCCTATAAAAAAATTCTTTTGAGAGAAATATAGGATAAGTGTTCTGACAAGCTCAATATCCTTGAGGTTCCCAAGTTCCCAAGTCTTTAATAGAAAAAAGACAATGACCATTAAACAAAAAACACAGACTTTAAAACCATCTAACTTTTCAAAGGGGGAGCCATTGCTTTCAAACAGTCTGTTCCTTTCCTCCCAAAAAATCCATAAAGTAGTGAAGGGAATAAGAGAATGAATTTCTTCCTAAGCTTCTTACCCTGGATGCCCTTCCAAGCTCAAATATCTTCAAATACGACGCCTGCCATCACCCAAATCCTCCTCAAAAATAAGAGGATGACCCTCAAAGAAAAGATAATAAGTCCAAATCAAAGATATCTAATCCTAGCAAAAGGGGGACAACAACCCTTAAAAGCTCTTCTACTCCTCTCTCCTCACAACCCACAAAATAGCTGAAGGGATTAGACAAATAAGAAGCTCAATTCTAATTAATTATCTGACCTAACAATACATTCTCATCCATCGAGAACAAACAAGATGATTCAAGCACATCAACATGGAATTTACATATTTAAGACATGCCTTCTAATATGTAAGATGAGCTACATAAAGAATTACAGATGATCTAATTATTATCAACATACTAGCTTCAACAGGTTATATAAGAAAGAATACATTATAATTTTAGTCCTTGAAATATGTGTAACATTTCAGTTATGTCACAAAATGTTTTTTGTTAAGATTTGGTAAATTTATTTATTTTTACTAAAATCTTTAAAGGAAAAGCTTCTACTCTTCCTATCTTGTTTGGATGACACAAAAATGACTTAAAAGATACAAAGCTTCTACTAAATGTGAATACAACTTGAACCTGAGAAAAAGAAAAAAAAAAGTAAGAAATGGTTCTCATAGATGTAATTTTGTTTCCTAATTTCTATTAATATAATCTACATACTTTATTAAATCAATTGATTATCAAATAAATAAAGGTTAATCTCCACCTACTATCACTTCCAAACTCTATATAAGATCAAAAAGAATAACATACGGGTAAATCATAACGAATTTACATACTATTTTTGTGCAAACTTTCATACTTTTATGGAAAAAAGAAATCATATTTTGAAATAGTTTTTTAAGTTTGAGGACTAAATAGTAACAAAAGAATTTTGAAATCCAACCGAAACATGACTGTAGTTTGAGTTAGTAGAATGGTCATTTTCCCTAAAAGAAAACACTGCAAAGAATAAACACTCCACATGCAACTTGAGGTAACCTCAAGTACAAATATAAGCAAGAATGTCAAAGTGATGACTTATGACCCAACAATAATGCCTTTAGTTTTACATGAACCTCAAAGCAAGTGTCCCTCGGAAAGTATCAGCTCAGTCTGAATCTGGACATGCACAGAGAATTCCGCATCATAGTTAACCCCATATTTTAATTCTTCTCCCCAAATTACATGGTGAACTCTTGTCCACATTAATCATGCATCAGGCATTTATACTCTGCTATTTTCTCTTTAGAAAAGAATCACAGAATGCACAAAAAATAGAGTCGTAATAATTTAGGCATGTTCTTCATTCTCCACATGAGAAGGAACTTGCCTGTGTAGACAGCTACTCCACAAGCCCACTCTGTATTTCGTAAGTAGCATGACTGAAGAAGTGTGTTTTTTATGGTTAATGGGCACACATCATTGTCAATAAAGGGAGGAAACAATCGCATATTTGCATCAAATCTTCTAATGTCCTTATCTGGATTGGGACACTCAATAACACCCTGACGAGGAAGTAGAATATAGAATGATTCAGACAATATGACATTGATATAAAAGCAAGTCCTATTTATAGTAGATGAAAAGAGAATTCTTACCTTGATTTTGTGCAGTAATTCTAAGTCTATTCCCATGCAAGCAGAGGGTGTCAATCTTGTTTTAAGATCAGTTTCACCATCTAAGGCAGCAGTCTGCCAAAAATTTAACATTGTTGAGGCCCATTAAGCAGATATCATAATTCTATTAATTGCTCTTCATCTATTTTCCAAGATAATAACAAAATTGAGACAATAGAAACTCGGATGACTTCCTTTTTTCCCTATACTCTTTCCTTGCAACAATATGTCTCTTCGCTGTTTTACTCTTAATCTATCCCAACATTCAGATCAACAAATCAGAAGTCAAAAATATAAAATTGTCAAAGACTTAAATGATCCAAAATGCTTATGGGAAAAAAATTTATAGTTTTCCCATATCCACAGCTGGTTTCATGTTTATAGTTCAGCAACAACCATAAATTTCAACATTTATAAGGAAAAGAAAGGAAAAATATGCTCCATTATCATATATATTTATTTGAATAGTTACCTCTATATAACAAAGGCCTTGAGGATCCGAGGTACCAACCAAAACAAGATCACATGGTACTTCATCATTCTCACGAAGCCACACGATGTTACCAACCCGAATGTTCTGTGCTTGGATCTGCAAATGCATGACAGAATCACTCCAACAAAATAGTAATTCAAAGTGAAGGATAATCACTCTAACACACAAACTATATTCTAGTTATGCATGGTAAGACTAACATAAAAAGTTAGAATTAGGAATTGACTAGAAATTGAATAAGAAATGAACCTAATGCGACCTAGTAGTTAACCAAATATTCTTTCTTTTTTTTTCCAAAAAAAGAACATTCTTAAGGTTAAGGATGAGATATTATGAAGGTTAAGACATTCTCTCAAAATCTTTTCCTAGGAAAAAGATCCAAAATAATACAAAAGAGATAAGATGAAACACATGCAAAATCACAAGTTTTGAAGGATAGTAAGAGAAATCTATGAGAGCGTTCCATGAGCCTTTTCCCATGGGAAGACACAAATGTTATCCTCTCCCCAGGATTGCAACCAGGAACAATCCGCTGTCAAAGATCTGATTGTTTCTTTTCAACCAAATTGTCCATTTGACAGCAAATAGCACCTTCCTACAAAGGTTTTCCTTTCTCTTGTACCCCAACCCAAACATTGGAGTTCATAAAGCATTTCAGAGAGGGAGGTCTTGTCCAATTTAAGTTAAATGTATCAAATAACCTAATTTATAATTTTTAAGGCACCTTGGGTTGAAGGAATAAATGATTATGCGCCCTTCTCTTCAATACATCACATAAATGTCTGGAGAAGTAGCTTGATTAGGTCCATGAATTTGAAACAACTTGTTGGTGTTTAACCAGTTCAGAACTGCGGTCCACACAAGCACCTTCACTTTAGAAGGAACCTTAACTTGCCAAAATGTCTTAGTAAAAGGCTACGGTACTGATAAGGGTATTGAGTAATATGATCAAAAAAGATCTATAAGTGCACGTACCCAAGGATTCTAAGTTCCATAAGCTGCAATCCAGTTGCTGTGACATTTGGAAATAAGCCAATAGCCTCGAAAAGGTGGAAAGCTCATTTGTTCTCTTTAATTATCAAGTTGTGGGAAAAAATAGAAATTCCATGTTACATACTTCACCTGGCATAAAAAATGAGTAATTGGTGCATTATGGCATGAGAGACATGAAAGAGGCAGGAATTGTGTAGATAGAGGGCTGTCCTCTCTCATATCCTCCCAATAGGACCTTGGATCATCTCCCATTTTA